GAAAGATGGAACCGAAGGTCCCGCAGGGACACGGAACCAAACCCCGGGAGGAGCCGAACACAAATCCAACTCGTAAGCAGAGGGGGAAAAAGGAAAACCCCAATCCTTGTAACAATAAGCCCTGCTTGGAGGGTCAGAACACCCAGGCGGGGTCCAACGGGGCCCAAGGCCCCCAAGTCAGCTCCTCCCCAACCCCGGGAACCTCCACATCAGGCCCCGGGGCGTGTCATCCTGCAAAGCTCCGGCCTCTCAAGAAAAAGCTGGGGTGGCTGAAAAAGTAGGAAGAAAAGGGGGCCCACTGGTCAGACCCCGGAGCTAATGCTGGAGGAACAGACTCAAATGCCTCCGTCGCCACCTCAGAAGGGGGCAATCCCCGAAACCGGCCGAGTCTCAGAAACCTCCAAACCCTGCCCCGACCCTGAAGCCCTCTGACGTTTAGGAGCTGGAAGCAGGGAAGGAGGGGGTGGGGTGACAGAATGAACCGCATCAGGGGGAGGGAACAAGAGGGGCGCGGACTTGAACCAAGGCCGACGCATCCAACACCCCCAAGTCCGAGTCCCTACAAGCAAAGCAGGGCAGCCTCGTGGCATCCGGGGAAGCAACCAACCGAACACGTTGCAGGAACCTAAACCTAGCCTGCAACGCACGAACCGCCTACACCCAAATAACATCATCAATAGATTGGGTGAATTGAGTCACAAACAAGCAACAATACTCGCATGACTGTGGGTCGAAGGTGTCACCGACCCAACAGGCAGCATGATGGAGGCAAAAACAATGAGCATCGCCTTGAGACAAGGGGACAGAGCAACCCTCAAACTAGCACAAAGCAAGGGGGACCCAGGGATTGCATCCAGCGAACCCGTGCGCTCCAACGGGGTTTCCCAGGGGCCCCTAGACTGGTGTTGCTAAGGGTGAGCCCAGGCAGGGTACTGCTAACCGGCGCCCAAATCTACCAAACAAACTGCTAATGCTGAACCGCCGGGACGTGTCCACTCACGAGGATGAAGCAGGGGGTACCACCAAACAGAAGGTCAAACCCTAATATAACTGGGGAAAGGGACACCAAGGCAGACACCCACCTGGCAAAAAGAAAAAGAAAAACCTCGCAGGAGGACAGTGTACCTAGACGAAACAGAGCCAGCCGCTGTTATAGGTGAAAACTAGCTGCTCAGTATTCCACGCCCCTACCAGTGCAAAACTACCACTTACCCCACGTGAGAGGATGGTCTCTCAAGATTATCCCACAGCTGACTTGAATGGCCCATTGCAGTGCACAGTGCACCGATCTCGTGCACAAGCCTCATCTCTGTTAAACCTGGATAGTAAACTGTCATATTGGGTGTCCCAGGATGCCCCACATAACCAGGAATACTTATAAAATACAGAGGCCGCCGTATGCCCAAGGGTAATTAGATACAGGGAAGTTAAGCATCCATGCCATAGAGTCATTGGGTACACAGTAGAGGTGCCAAGCGTGAGAGAGAGAGAGAGAGAGAGAGAGGGGATGCCAGCGAGGCGACAGATCTGACCTCTGGGGTCAGCCTCAACCGGCGCAATGGAGAATAACAACTGTGACGTGGTCGTGAGTGTTCATGACGTCACCTCTGCAACTGACCATGGAATGATCAATATGATTGGTTCCCGCTCTTTTGCTGAAACGCCATTGGTCAATTGTAACCCCTTGTCTTTATGCCCAACGAGGAGCCCTGCAATCTCTTGCAAGGGTATTCATGTGAGGAAGTCTGTACATAGTGGACGTGTCCTGTTCTGTCTATCGGCCAATAGAAGAACACCGTCCATTCCTCACCGTCAAGTTAAACTCGGCGTCTTTTCGATATACCAACGCTCGCCCGGAATCGCAATTGTGACTATATTGTTTAGAAGCCTAGTGACAAATCATCAAAGTGAAACAGACTGGTATCAGGTAACCCCTGGTGACAAATTGAGATGTCTGCGAGTGACCTAGAGTGACTTAAGGAGTGCTGCTGCCTAAGTAATTTGTGTGTGACTTTACCACAGTGTACCTGTATGGTATCATATAATCAGCCGCCACCAGCCGCCCTGCCTCACGGTACTACGTGACGTCACCACCTTCCTCGCCGCCAGTGCCATCAAGTGTGTGTGTTAGACACACAGCGCACCCTCCTGCGAGTACTCTCCGTGTCAAGTATGGTTTATTGGGAAAGCCTGTCATCAATGGTCTCACGTCGTAACGAGCAAAACCAGCTGTCAGGCCACCTACGAGTTCTTGCATGAATGTGCATAAGTGAGTGAGTGAATAAGAGAGGTAGCCTACCTGTAAGTACAAGATCTTGTTATTGTATTATTGTGTTTGTGTTGATCTGAGGGATCAACCACAGTTATCACCTTCTCGTATGTGTCAGGTATAGGTGGAGACACCCGACGGTGTATGCGTGTTTATCTGTGTGATATCACGACATTACACTCGTCTATGAATGTGAGCTTCACATACACCACACATTTAGTTATTGTGTGACATAATTATTGTGCATGTTTATTGCATGTTTATTGCATGTTTATTGCATGTTTATTGCCTGTCCCATTGACAGTGCCATTGTTGATTTATTGTGCATCATCATTACCCGAGTATCCGGTTGGAACTCCCATGACCCCTTTGCACACCGGCAGTTAGGTTTTTTGTGTTAATGATTGGCTGTTAATTGTGTTAAGGTAGGTGTTTCTCCACGAGTGGAACAGAATCGATTAGTCAGACGTCAAGAGTCTCGCTAATACAACCATAGCCTTTCTGACGCCAATTTAAAGTAAATCAAGCACCCATTGTATTAGTGGTTAAGTTAGTAAATAAACTACTGTTAAGCTTTATGCGGTGTTTCTGTTGAACCACTTCTGAATACTGCCAACTATTTACTCAAGCCTTCAGCTCCAGGTGTCTTCAACACAGAGTTCCCTATTATTCACTAATTTATAAATGTGATGAGGACCCTAGGAGTCCCTTAAAGTGTTTCAAGCATTGAGGAGATTCCAACAACCAACGTGGATCAGGACCAGGTGAGGCTAGTCTGAGAAGAGACTCCTCAAGGATTCTAACTCGACCTTGCTCCCAGGCCCTGTTCGGTTGTTCTCGTATTTTCTCTGCTGGATTCCGACAGCTTCGTAAAGTCTGCCACATGTACATGGATGATGTACACATTGCAGTCGGGAAAGCAAAAAAGAAAACCCCACACCCCAATGTAAACAAGGGAGGAAACCCCCCAAAACACTCGAGGTGGTCAATCGCCAAGCAGCAAAAGACCAATAGAGGTGGACCGAAGGTGACTTGTGGAAGAAAACCCCAAGCCCCAAGGGCGGTACTTACAAAGCACTCAGGGAAGGTGACCCTAAGCACGTGCAGCCTGAGTACCTGGGATTATTACTCCCAGCTCGCACGCCACTGTAAGGGCAGTACTGAACCAAAGCACAGCACAACACATGAGTCTGGAGCTGGAGCCTCATGACAATGTCGTATCACATCAGCCGAAGAACTGAGGTGTGGATCGCCAGCGTGGGGGTCTGGGGCTCCCCCCTATCCCCTCCCGGGGGGCGGGGACGGGAGCTGCTCAGACATGCAGTGCGGCTCGTGTGACGTCATGCTCATTTGCTCGTTCTCATTTGGGGGAGTTCTGTTTATTCGTTTGGCTATTTTATTGGTTTCACCAGAACAGGGGTTTATTTTGAGGCGCTTACCTTTCTGGGTGCCTGTCCCGGTCGATGGCAGATAAAGAATGCTCCAAATCACATGTGCAATTTCCATAGGCCATTGCTCCTCATGCCTCTCTGAGGGGGGGCCAGATACTGGCTCATGGTCCCCGGTAGGCCTAGAACTCCACCCACATTGACTGATGCCAAATTCTAAAGAGATACACATCAGCCTGGATAGCTCCGGGAAGCCGTAGGGGTTCCCCTTTGAAAAATAAATATATTAATGCTATAATTAAATGAAATAAATGGTAAGACAGTACACAGTTTACGTGCACTTAGGAGAGTTGATGGCATATGTGAAGGTGGTGAGGCAGAGGAAGAGAGATGATATTCTTTGGCAGGGGAGACCCCTACCATTATAACTTCTGGTAGCTGTGCTTCTGGGGTTTACTCTTTTCTATCTTGTTTTGTTTCCCTCATTAGACTCACTGTTTGCTTTTCTTACAAGAAATATGTCCAAGGATGATTGCTTTTGCCTGCGCTTTAAAATGTTTCTGAAGAAAGACATAACATTGTCATTCAACAGGATTATAACAGTTAGTCACAACTTTGTCAGGGTGATATTTTTCAAGAAAACTTTGCACTTTTCCCCATTTTGCACACATTTCTTTTATTAGAGAGCTAGATTTAGGCATACCAAACTCGGTAGCAGGAGCAGACGCATCCACATGGGCACCACTTTCATATTTAGCTATGAGGTTTGTCTTCATCTCTTTTGTGGTTCTAACCATTTTTCTTTTTTGCTTGGCTTTTATCACAAACTTTCTTAGGTAACATGGTGACATATTTACACTAAATTAAAATATATTCAAAATATCCAAAAGAAAAGTGTAAAGGGCTGTGCACTGAACGACAGCTATGGCAAAACTGACACATCAGGGATGTGTGTTTGTGTGTCAATGCCGAGCAAACAGACAAATACTAAACATAAACACAGTGTCAGAATGCCGAAAAGTTCGATTTGCGAGTTGTTCGAATACTGAGGTTCCACTGCATATATAATTCACCACATGGTTTCCCACATTCGGAAACAGGAAGCCAGTTAGGCTCATCAAGGTTCCCCTAGACCAACAACTGATGACTTTTCCCAGGAGCAGCCAATAAAAGTTGCCCAACCATCTTTGTCCCACTTGGGAAATGAACCTGGGATCCTCAGTTGTGAGCCGAGCATGTTGACCAATGCATTACAGGACCCAACTATTGATTAACTAATCTCTGTATACAATTTTTGCGTGACAAATCACTCAAGAAATGTAAATAACTCTTACACAACTTACCAGTAAGGTGAGAAAGCCCTCGTACAAATCCCTTCTTTGGAGGATACTGATGATGGAATACAGAATGATTCAGAACATACAACTCTCTTCCCGTGTCTAGCCATGACCGCTGCAGGACAAAGTCCCTATTCTTTAGGGGTGCTGGACATGAAACTGAAAGTGTAAAACTCAAGTTAATTAGGTAATTTAAACAAAATTATAATCTAAATTTGTTTAATGAAAATAACAAGTATAATCTTGAGGGTCAACAACTGCCTTCCCTCCAGATGCCAGAGAAATACTCACAGAAACTGGCCAGGAACTAAAGTTCAACTATACGTTTAACAGATTGGTCAATCTGCTTCTAAGTGACTGACGATAAAACTGGTGGAATATAGTATACATTTTTAGTACAGGTCACCAGGCCAGAGGGGGGGGGGGGCCATGGGTCACCAGGCCAGGGGGGAGAGAAAGGGGGCGATGGGTCACCAGGCCAGGGGGGAAGAGGGGGCCATGGGTCACCAGGCCAGGGGGGGGAGGGGGCCATGGGTCACCAGGCCAGGGGGGGGAGGGGGCCATGGGTCTCCAGGCCAGAGGGGGGGGGGAGAAAGGGGGCCATGGGTCACCAGGCCAGGGGAGGGAAGGGAGCCATAGGTCAACAGGCCAGGAGGGGGGAAGGGGGCCATGGGTCACCAGGCCAGGGGGGGGGGAGAAAGGGGGCCAGGGGAGGGAAGGGAGCCATGGGTCACCAGGCCAGAGGAGGGGGAAGGGGGCCATTGGTCACTAGGCCAGGGGGAGGGGGGGGGCACAGGATGCAGGTGTATTAGAAATTAGAAACTACTGTAATGTCGGTTTAGTCAAATATGAGGCTGCCACATGAATCACAGTTAATACAAATCTAGGAAATATGGTTTCATTGTGTGAACACTTTGTGAAGAAAATACTGTCTACGCTGACATATCTGGACTATATGGGAAAGACTCTTTATAGAATAAGCAGGACATCCGAATAAGCAGGAATTCTCACCAGGAAAGTATAATTAAAAAATAAAATAAAAAAAAACAGCGTTGAATGTAATGAAACGTCATTTTCTGGGTGAGCCCCAGAGGCTCCCTGGAGCTTATCGGGCTAATGTATGTTATATTAGACCGGGACATTAGCTAAGGAGTTCAGATCTACCAGACACCAGCGCCAGAACCTGGCTCCTTCAGAGAGGTTTCAGTGAGCAATGGCCCTGGAAAATCCTCTTGTGGTTGGGGTTTTCCATATCTGCCATCAACCGGGGGTAGGCACCCAGAAAGGTAGGCATAACAAAACAAATCCCACATGGTAAAAAACCAAAACAAAAAACTGAACAGAGGTGTAGAAACTCCCTACAATCTCAAGGAAACAAGCAAACATCACACTTTACTGCCGCGCCGATCGTCCGCGCAGCCCTCCCCACCCCGAGGGGGAGGGGGTAGTCCCAGACCTACAGCGCCGGCTGCCTAGCATCAGTTCGGAAGTTAAGCTTCAACCAACGCAAAAAAAAAAAAAAAAAAAAACACCGACCGGTGGGAGGGAGGGTTGCCAGGGAGCCTCCGGGGCTCACCCAGAAAATGGTGTTTCATTACATTCAACACTGGTTTTCTGTGGGGAGCCCCTACGGCTCCCTGGAGCTTCATTCCCAAATAGAAGGAAAAGAAAGGGCTGACATGGGAGGCGGCCGCCACAAACTCCGCAACGCGAAGCCAAGGCAACAGGTTGCAATCTGCAACCCAAGGCAACAAGAAAGCACAGGAGCAGACACACATAAAGAATGGGCGGCTAAGAACCTGTGCGACCCTCAAGTCCCTGCACCCGAAATGAGCCTTAGACGTCACCAACACAGCAGCAAAAGCTGCAAACGTCCGAACAGCACGGGCGCAAGGACAGACTGCAGGCTGGAAGACTTAAAAACTCTGCGAACGACCTGGGAGACCCGAGTCCTGAAACAGGGAATGAGGAGAACCTGATCAACTCAAAGTGCATCCCCAGACATGGTACGCAGGTAACGGCAAAATACTGTCTGCGCAACCGGACAACACAGGACGCACCCGTGGCCGAACCAATCAAGCATCAATAACCCAAGAACCCCTCCGGAAAGCAGCCGTCTCGACCATCGCCAGAAAGACGGAGAAATGCTGCAAACGTACAAACCTACCACCAGTACCAAAGAGCAGAAACCTGAACCGAAGGGGCTACCACAAACTGAGGAGAAGATAAGAAGGCACCCTGATCAAGGATCAGGACGGCTCAGGCGACAGATGAGCAGGCCAGAGGTGAAACAAAACATGAGAAAGCATATGAAATGGGGAAGATGTGACGTCCACCCCGAAAGCAAGCCGGAGCGGCTCCGCCAGCGCCGTGACAGTAAGAAACATCAAATAACTCAGTCCTGAAAAGAGAAAGGACAAAAAGATGCGAAAGAGAAGACAACCTACAAAGAGCAACAAAACGTGCATAGAAACACCAGGACGTCATACTGTCACCGAGACGAAGCTCACAGGTGGGATACTGTCAACAAAGCCATCTGATCACCACAGAGATAGTGATACCCACGTCAAAATACCAGACGCGAAGAGACGAGGAGAAGGCCGAACATGTCACATACAGAACCGGTCCGACCTACCGATAGAGGTGGAGCCGTGGGAAAACGCCCCGGGTTCGGACACCCATCAAGCAGCGTATGAAAATAAAGTTGGACCGGCCACCAAGGGACCATAAGAACTGCTCTCGTAGGAATGAGCTCCAACCGAGCCAGAACCCGAAGCAACAGCTGGACCGGGAGAAGAGGAACAGGTACCCCCACCTCGACCAGTCCTGCCGAAAAGCATCCACCGTGAACGCCTCGCAGGCGGGTAAGGACGCCACATAGAATGGGCGACGCCTAGACCACGCCGACTCGAAGACATCTATGGCCAGGAGTCCATACGTCTGGCAGAGCCAACGAAACAAGTCGGCGATGACTAGCCAATCCGCAAACAGAGGAATGAACCGAGACAGCTGTCCGCCAGGACGCAGGACACACCCCGGACATGAACCTCACAGTTAGCCAAACCCCGAGAATCCAGCAAACGAGCCACTCTAAGGGACCAACCCCAAAGGTCAAACACTTAAGAGAAACCCTGTGGTTCCGGCAAGAACCACCAGAGAACAGTCTGAAAGGAGCTGAATGGTAGAGCACCAAGTGACAAAAACCCTCCAAAGCGCAAACCAGACAGCCACGAACTCCCGAACCGTGCTGTGAGCCCGACAGACGGACAGACGCCACCATCCCCGGCTGACCTGGTGAGCACTGGTCACAAAGCCACACCTGAGAGATGACCCGTCCTTGAACACATCGAGCAAAGGCTCGGGGAGGTGCCAAGGCACGGAACCCCGAAAACCCTAAAGAGGAAGCTGGTGATGCAGCACCAACATAAGATCCCCGGAGGAACGAACTTAACGATTGCAAGAGAGGCGGAAAGGGAGTCTCCGAAGGAACCAAACAGACGCCGAAGCCAAACCCGACCCCGCGGGCAGACCAGCACGTCGAAGTTCAGACTCCCGCACAACTGCTTGAGCAACCGCCAAGCAACCTGTGACCCCTCTCATGCACAGCCGAAGGCGGGACCACAGCCGCAGCAACACTTCTGGAGGGAAAGACAAGGAGCGGCCCAAGAGCCCGAAACAAGACCCAGCCAGGTCCGAACCCGGGACGGAAACAGATGGAACGGCCTCAAGATCACCAGGAAACCAAACCCGGCAATCTGGAAAGAACCGCACCCCTGGCAAGCAGAAAAGCGAACTGACTGGGAGCCCACACCAGCCAGTCATTGAGGTAGCCCAGAAACCAAATCCCAAGCACACTCAGACAGGGCACCAAGATCCGGTAAAGATGTGTATATACGCCAAGTACCAATACAAAATAGGGAAGGCAACAAAAGCAGCAAGCCTGAAGCCCCACCGCCAACTGTGCCAGTCCTGGAAAAATGGAGAGGAACATGCCAAGAATTGACCTGGAGGTCCAGGACCACCATCCACGCACCCGGCCCCAACAGAAGCCGGACAGGAGACAACAGTCCTCTGATGAGGGCATAGAATCCAGGGCGCAGACTGAAGAAGTCCAGAAGAATTGCAGATTTGACAGGCCCATGTCTGCATAGAGCAGATGGGAACCCCAAAAGGATGGGGCGGATCCAACGCACCACTAAGATGACATGACAAAGCGCAGGGGACCACCCCGCCAGCCCTGAACCCCCCAAAGGGGTAGAAGCCATCCACTGCTGCCACCAGAGGCCGGAAGACAACCAAAAGCACCCACTAACTGCGGGACCATGCGAGAGTCAACAGAGCAAGCTGCTCCCCTAGCGCCCTGTCAACAGAGAAGGGAACAGAGTCTCGTCCAAAAGAAAAAGTATACATACACATATACATATATATACATATATATTATGTATATACACATACATATACAAATACATGCACACACAAGGTATGTTAAACACACGTGTGAATGCACATACACACGTGCACACACACAGTGTACACATGTACATGTGTACACACGTCACAAGTGGAGTACCACAGGGTTTAGTTCTTGCACCAGTGATGTTTATTGTCTACATAAATGATCTACCAGTTGGTATACAGAATTATATGAACATGTTTGTTGATGATGCTAAGATAATAGGAAGGATAAGAAACTTAGATGATTGTCATGCCCTTCAAGATGACCTGGACAAAATAAGTATATGGAGCACCACTTGGCAAATGGAATTTAATGTTAATAAATGCCATATTATGGAATGCGGAATAGGAGAACATAGACCTCACACAACCTATATATTATGTGAGAAATCTTTAAAGAATTCTGATAAAGAAAGAGATATAGAGGTGGTTCTAGATAGAAAACTATCACCTGAGGACCACATAAAAAATATTGTGCGAGGAGCCTATGCCACGCTTTCTAACTTCAGAATTGCTTTTAAATACATGGATGGCGATATACTAAAGAAATTGTTCACGACTTTTGTTAGGCCAAAGCTAGAATATGCAGCGGTTGTGTGATGCCCATATCTTAAGAAGCACATCAACAAACTGGAAAAGGTGCAAAGACATGCTACTAAGTGGCTCCCAGAACTGAAGGGCAAGAGCTACGAGGAGAGGTTAGA